CCAAATCTCCTCCCATTTTTGAAAATCAAATGAATAACCCATATTTCGCCCCCAGGCAATCATGGAGTCTTTAACGACTTCCTCCCCCACTTTCAATGATAACAGGTAAGAATAGCATCTTGATAAAACTTTCCTGTCATTAACTAATAATATTTTATCCAATTCTTGTTTCCCATGATATAACCCTTCACTCTCCTGATCTTTCTTCCACCTAGAGTGTATTTGGGTGTAGGCCCACCAGTCTATATTGCACCCCTCCGACCTCAGTTGCTCCCATGTCTTCAGTCTGCCCTGAGTATCCAAAATGTCTTCGTAGGTCAAGACCTTCTCTCCTTTATATAACATCGGGTATACCAGGGCTTCCTGAGTCGAAATCCAACATGGTATCTTCAGGTACAACTTTCTCCTAAGTCTTTCCCAGGTATCCCCTAGGGTCTTACGTAAATAATGATTGCGAAAATACCTCGGTCAGGTTGACTGTCCTGGCCATAAAAAGTGGTGCCAACCGTGTTGAAGACCGTGGCCTTCTGCCGCCAATAGCCGCCTCCTTTTCAAAGCGATCCAGTCCTTCACCCATATCAGAATGGCTGCCTGATGGTAAACCTCCCAATTTGGGAGTCCAATTCCCCCTGTATGTCTAGGTTCCTGCATCATCCTAAACTTAATCCTTGACTTTTTACTTTGCCAAATAAATTTAGAAATAACTCTGTTCAAGGTGTTGAAGAATTCCCTATCCAGACTTACCGGGGCAGTTTGGAACAAAAACAACCATTTTGGGAGGACGTACATTTTGACGGCAGGTATCCTTCCCATAAGAGATAGTTGTAAATTTTTCCACCTCTCCAAATCTCTGACTGTCTGATTATAAAGGGGAACATAATTATCTTCCTTTACCGAAGAGCACCCTGGTGTCAAACAAATTCCCAAGTATTTTATTTTATTAGTTATCTGCATCCCCAGGAGTCCCTCCAACTGACATCTCTGCCTCTGCGTCATATTCTTAACTAATATTTTTGTTTTTTCCTTGTTAATTAATAATCCTGCCACTCTCCCCAAATCCCTAAGTACCTGTAATAGCTTTGGTCCTGATTCTGATGGATCCTCCAGTATGAAAACTAGATCATCCGCATATGCCTGAACTTTCACCTCCTCGTGCCTAACCCCCATTCCTCTTATTTCTGTATTCCTCCTAACCTCTTAAAGCTACTTCTTGAATTGAACCCTAACCCTAACCCATCCCCAGGGATCCTCTCTCTACCAAAATGTGTATTTTGGGCTATTCTAGGCATTGGAATTAATGTGGTGCTTGTTGATTGGGGTGTTGATGGCCAGCTATTAAATCTTTGGCTGTTTTTTGTGCTGCCAAGTCCTTGGCTCCTGGTGGTAAATCAGTACTTCTGTGGACTGACAAGAGATCCATTTCCCAGACTTCAATCATTGCCTTGGCTAACTTTGTACCTGTTGGGCAAAATTATTACTAGGTGCAAAATTGAACGTTTCTCCTTGTTCATTGTAATGTGAGACTGACAATGAGTTCTGGTCCCCTTGTCTGACTGCTCACTTGTGTTCTTGCAATCTGATGCCTAGCTTCCTCCCTGTCTGTCCTACATAATCACAGGAGCAAACTATGCAGATTACATTAGAAATATCTCCCACCTCCACGTGATCTTTGCAATGTAGGATTTGTCCTTATATGGTAGCCTCTGGGCAGTGTACAATAGGTGATGATGTGCAATGGTTGTGCAACGGGTTTAAATTGCATGTCGGGAGTAATTTCAAGCTCTGCGAGGAATAGGTGTGACAGGATGGGCAGGGGGAGGGGTGCTGCAGCACCCTGCGGTCAATGGCAAATGAAAATAAGGACACTGGAGTATCCACTTTGAAACAAGCTGAAAGTAGCTCTTGTGAGTCTGTCATAATTTTAAAAGGTGACTAGCAACCAATCATTATATGACTAAGACATTTCTTATGGATTCTGGCCAAATAATTATGAAGTCAATAGTTGAACAGAAACAGCTTGAAAGCTCTTTTTGAAATCAAAAAGAGATTCAGCCATTAAATTATTAGCTGGTCTAAACTGTAAGTGGGATGTGGTGGCTCAGTGGCTAAGACACTGAGCTTGTTGATCGAAAGGTCGGCAGTTCAGTGGTTCAAATCCCTAGTGCCGTGTAATGGGGTGAGCTCCCATTACTTGTCCCAGCTTCTGCCAACCTCGCAGTTGGAAAGCACGTAAAAAATGAAAGTAGAAAAATAGGGACCACCTTTGGTGGGAAGGAAACAGGGTTCCGTGTGCCTTTGGCCTTTAGTCATGCCAGCCACATGACCACAGAGATGTCTTCAGACAGCGCTGGCTCTTCGGCTTTGTAACGGAGATGAGCACCGCCTCCTAGAGTCAGGAATGACTAGCACATATGTGTGAGGGAAACTTTACCTTTTTAAACTGTAAATCTCAATGATATTTTTTACTACATGCTGATCATAGTTCAAGAGATTTGATCTTTTCAAATCTCAATTATTGTATTTTATTTCGGTTTTCTACTTGCTTAATTTCTTGTTCATATATTGTATAATTTCTGAATATCTGAATTATATCATAATAATACATCATAAATATTTTCTTTATGAAACTTCATTGGAAGAAAATGTGTAAAAGGCAGGAAGAAGGACTTGACCATCAAAGGAAGATAAGATGACGACTGCTGAAAGGGAGAAGACACAACAAGTGAGTCAGTGTTACGAAGCATCCTTGGGTGGAAGTTGTATTGAAGAAAAACAACTACCTCAAACGCATTCTCAAATTTGGTCACTCAAGATTCTGCAATGGATCACAGAGTATTAATAGGAATATGGAGTCTTTTCAATAACTTTTCAGAGGTTTCAGTGATCAAAATAAAATGAACTGGCTATTCTTCTGGAAATTTAGCCTTAATGCCATAAAGTTATGGGGGGGAAATGGAAGGAAAGATAGGTGTTGGAAATCTTTAAAACAGAGTCCTGAAAATTCTCTTTTATTGACTAGTCCAAATTTCATACCTCCAGTTTATTTTCTTACTAAAATGAAAAGATGCCTCTTTATCAAATGTGCCACTTTCGCTTTTCAGGTTTTTCATAAAATACACAATCAGGTCTTTTAAATAAAGGCACTGCACCTGGCAAATTCAAAGTCCAGACAGGAGCTGCACCACTTCAGAAACAAAGGCTAGGAAAAATAGGACCTGTTGGTGATCCCAAAGATGCTTTTTCAACTGGACTTTCTGCTTTCTTTCTTTTTTTCTTTTTTTTTTTTTAAGACATTTGGCTTTTCATGCAAGAAGCTTCTTCAGCTCTGACTGGATGGTGGGAAATGGAAGAATTTGTACTCCTTGCAGACAGCTGGTCATTTGCATTCTTTTAGTGTGTCATTAAGGTCATCTAGAGGTTTATCTGTGTCATCAGGGTCACCTGAGTGGTGCAAATTGGTGTGGAGTCTTTTTGGAACTGTTGAAAGGACTGTGTTGTAGATTGGAGATAGATGATGTCCTATCCCTCCTCCTCTGTTGAGAGAGGCTTGTTCAGTTTTGACATAGATGGCCTCTTTAACTCCTCTTTCAAACCAGTGGTCCTCTCTGTCCAAAACGTGGGCTTTGCTGTCTTCAAAAGAGTGGCCTGTGTCTTTTAAATGCAGATGGACTGCTGAATCTAGTTCTGATGTGTTTGTTCTCCTATGTTGTGCCATGCATTTATGAAGTAGTTTTTTTGTTTCCCCAATGTACAGATCTGAACATGGCTCACTGCATTGTACTGCATATACCACAAAGTATATACCAGAAAGTTTCTGCATATACCAGAAAGTCCAGTTGCCTCTTGAAAAAGCACCTTTGGGATAACCATGCTGGATGATTGAGAATCTCCATACATGTTGGTAAAGAATAAAGATGATCAAGCACTCAATCATGTATTGGGTGATTCAATTCTATGTAACAAATCCTTCTTTCTTATCTTAGAAGGCATAGTCTTTTAAAGAAGTACTTCGTTTTAGATCCCGGGTTTCAAGAAAGGAAATTGCATATATTTATTGAGAGTTCAAGATTATGTCAAAATTTGAACTCAGTACTTTAATGACTGAATTATAAATATTTTTGCTGAAATTCATGTATTCCTTCTATCAAACCACAGGTATTACTTTTTCCTTTCAGTAGGCATTATTTGAATCAAAGTAAAAGTGAGAATATAAACTTTTAAACTATATTTGCTTGTCCTTTTCAGGCACACAAACAAATTAGTGTTTGAAGGGGATATGCAATATGGGAAGAAGTACTGTTCATCAGAACAAGTCTGTGCAGCAAATGATTTCTTCATTTGATCAGTTAGGAAGTCATAGGAGCATAAACAATATTTGTCCTGTCAATGTTACCCCTAAAACAGCCTGATGGAAGAAATTGTGCTAAAAGGCAGTGCTAGATGTAAAGTCAGCCAACCATGTCCATCATCACTGTGTGAGATTTGAATCTGGGTTGTGGTTTAGGATCCTAACCATATTGCAGCTTTGCTCTTAAAATAATATTTAAGGAAGGTTTTTTTTGAATTTTACACATAATATCTTAGTTGATTTGCCCTGTGTAGAGAATAACCAGAAAGATGGAAGTTTTTTCATATACCTTTAGTCTAGCAGTGACACTGGAATCTGAAACTGGATTTTATTTCTTTCTGCTCTGTGCAGAATTCTGCAGCTTATTTATATATACAAAGACCGAAATAGGCACTCTGTGTTTGATGGCTGTAGAATTCAAGAAGTAGCCATGTTGCCAAGCAATTTATATTTCATTTGTTGGTTGTTCAAAACATTTGCAGTTACTGATTTCCTTTAGCTTAAGATTTTCTTGATTTTCTTGACCGTCCAGGATAAATTCATATCCCATCTGGTATGTAGAGTTGGGAAATGTTTTCCATATTTCAGTAAGTGTTTATTTGCCCTTAGAATAATAATGTAAAAAGTCAATTAAAGTATGTTTACATATCAGTTGCTTTAAGCCAGACAAGTGCTCTAAAAAGATTTATTTTAAAAATTGATTTAAACATTTCAGGTACAGCACATCACATTTTTATCACATGCCCAGATTTTAAGGCAGGCAAAATTCATATTTGGCTGATTATCTTGCCCCCACCCCGGATTTGATGGAAGGCACTCTGTGCTGCTCTAAAATTTTGCTATGTGAGATATTTTGGAAACCTTAAATTTAATGAGTCTTTTACCATTAAAATTGCAGTAAGTTCATTTTAGTTTTTTCTCTTCTCTCCTATTTTTTAGATGCTACCATGTGAGTCTTTTGCTACTTCAAAATGTGCACACCTGTTGAGGGAAGAGCTTAGAAAAACATGCAAGATGGAATGGTATACTGAGATACAGTGACTCTGAAAAGCATTCTTACTAGGCATAGAGTGCCATCTTCTGGCACTTTTCAGCTACTCCTAGGGCTACTGTACAGTAGCCTGTTTCATCTAGTCAAATTTTTGGATCCTGGAAGACAAGAAGGGCTGCAGTAAAAGATCCTATTGGAAGGAAAGGGTCTGTTTTTTAAACAAAAAGAAATGACCCTCTTTTAATTCCAGCTGCCAATATTTCACAGATTGTAGACCAATCTTTATGACCTGAGGAGAATTCAAATTAAAAAATCAAAATGGAAAGTATATTCTGCATCAACCCAGCTATGACTGGCAAAGGTTGGAAACATTCACTATGAACCAACAACTGTTGCATCTCAGAAATTGTTTTCTTACCTCTCTGCATTTCCTGCCTTTTGGTTCTAGCTCTTAAAATGCACGTCTCATTTAACCTGCTTGAATATGAGTTTGCTTTAATAAGATGGTTCCACCTCAATTTTTGGATTGTGCGCCCCTTAATTAGTATGAATTTCTTTTGTGGGGCAAAATTTTAAATGCTCTAGTTCAACCATACAGTTTAAATTTTTATATTCTTTTGATTTCTTTGGTTAGTTTTTATTTCTCTTGCCATGTATTTTTATTATATTTTTATAACTGTATACCTATCAATATAAGATCCATTAAGAATGAAAAATGTTTACTAAAAACCCACTGCATTCTACTGTTCCTTTTTCATGTTGTGATACACTACAATCAATTTACACTTATTACTAATGTACATGGAGAATACAATTCTCTGTAAGGATCCACAGAAGCAGTATCAAATTATCTACAACAGGTTAAATACGAATTCAATATACTTATTGGGAGAATGAAAAATAGCTATATTGATTGATTTTCCAATACTACTATGCATTTATAAATGAACACATAATGCTTAGGGAAATTTCTAGTATACCTATTCTAAAGAAAGTAACTCTTCTGCAAAATACACATTTACTAGGGATGCTGGACCATTACATGAATACATGAATGATTATCCTTGGCATTAGATGTGTAGATACATTTATTTATTTTCTTTTTCCTAATGAATTCTAATGATGAAATGCTTTGGTTTAGAATAAAACAGCACAATATATAGGGAAGACTGGGAAAATTACAGTCCACAATATGCTGGGAGCAATTTTTCAATAGATATTAGCTCCACAAAATTTAGAGAGCAATACATGAAAAAAAGAGCCATAGAACAGAAGCATCCTTCCACCCTTCCTTTCCTCTTAAAAGGGCCTGCCCACCTCATGGTTTGGAAGAAGAGTCAGGCTTTAAAAAAAAATGATAACCTGCACCAGCATAGTCAACTCATTGCCTTATCTCCACTCAATATACTTAGTATTTTGATTTTGAATGGCAAAAAGCCTAGTTAATATTTTTATGCAGATCAAAAAGCTAAGCACCAGGTGCCTTAACTGAATGTAACATCTCTTTCTTTTGTGGCTGCATAAGTAACACACAATGCAAAATGTGTAAAACTGTTTATTCAATTTTTGCTCCTAACTTTATTGGTTAATAGTTAACTGGCCAAGTGCTGTTTAAAGCAGACAACATAGATCCTATCTGGTGACTTACAAGTTAGTTTAACTTAGATGAAACTCTGATTATATTATAGGCTATAGAACTGGATGCCTGGTTAGGATTCCAGAAAACTGATAATGGGACTAAAGGTTTTATTTATATATACTAAAAAAAACCTCTACAGATATGAAGGGAAAATCAACATGCCTATCTCTGGGAAAGTAATGCCTTCCAGAATCTAAATTCCATTATTATGGAGGAGGATCAAATTGGAGCCCAAGAGTATTTCAAGGATAAATATTATTTCAGCCTCAAGTATCTTTAAACATTTTTTGATATTAATTTTATTAAACAGTTACAAGTGAAAAAATAAAATCTACAGATGATGAAATAAATGAGCAAAAAGAAAAAAACTAGAACAGAAAAGGAAAATGGAAAAAGAAGAAAAAAAGAAAATAACAAAATGACCTATCCCTTCATCACAAGGTTTAATAACTTATACTAAACTATTAAGTTACCTAAGCTCAAAAATTATATATAGTTTGTTAATGATTTGAGTGGCCAGGGACCTACTATATACAGTATTTACATATTTAAACTTTACACCTGCCGAGCAAATGTTATGTTATGTTAAGCATGAGTTGCAAGCAAACTAAAACTTTATAAAGAAAAAAAATGGATATCCAAATTAACATAAAGGGGGAGAAAAAAGTTTGGTTAAAATCCTGTTATTATAGCTAGATTTTCTTAGTGTATGCTATTACATATCAAAAGCAATAGCACTGCTCCATAGTGTTTTACAGCACTCTCTGGGCGGTTTACAGAGTCAGCCTATTGCCCTCAACAATCTTGGTCCTCATATTACTGACTTTAGAAGGATGGAAGACCGAGTCAACTTTGAGCCCCATCAGGATCAAACTCCAGGTTATGGACAGAGTTTGCCTGTAACCAGTGCTCCATCAAGTGCTTGGTCACTTCATATATAGATAGATAAACACCCTATGATAGATTTATTATAAATACATTTTGCACTATGCTTGTATAACAATAAATTATAATAAATAATGTTCAGTTGTTAGTTATGAGACTTTGTTCCAATGTATACTTATCTTCTAACACTCCCAAAAGGACTTTTCATTTATTTAAGTTTTCTTTATTTTTAAATAATCTGTTTTATTATATCTTATTAAAGATAGATGCATTCATAGAATAGTGGCTTCCTATTTCCTCCAACAGCTGCTATTCAAAAGGCTGATAATCTTCCAAATGAACAGACTTATCTAGTAAAAGGTGCTCTCTGTGGAAGGAAAGGCAAAGCAAAAGGCATGGAAGAAGACTGAAATTTAATATTACGCCAAGAAGACTGCTCACATTGAGGAGAAAACTTGTCACACTAGAATGTTTCCTGTCTTGATATAATGGTCCAGCTAACATCCACAAAAGGAGAGATTATAGTACTTTTGTTATTGTAGACATACTGCTCTGGAGTCCATAGCCACATAGCAAAACAGGAGATACTGTATAATATGTATCCTATGATTAAAGCATTTAATGGAAAATTTGATGACAACTACCAAGATTACAAATAGTGTCACCAACTTGACATAATTGTAAATCTATATGTAAAATGTGGCCTTCTGGAAATTCAAAACAATTGAATCTGGCAGTAGTTTATCGCAATGTCAACAAAGTATATTTGTGCAGATGTGTAATTAGCAGACTTTCAACCTCGTATTAAATTTCAGTTATGTTCCGGTGTTACTACTGGCTGAGAATTCTAGAAATTGTATACACAGGAATTTGGATTTCAACAATTTAAAGAACATTTGTTCCAAAGAATTAAGATGCATTGAATCGACAGGAAACTGTTAGATCTTAATCCTGAGTTAACACTCTCAGCTTTGCACTACCAGATGATTTATTGCACGTTATCAGAAAGCATATCATTTTACTTCCAGAATAGTTAAAAACTGGTTTGAAATAAGTTTGGGACTATGACATAGGCAAAATGCCTAAAAAATCCCTAGAGCAAACAGAATTTGCTTTTCCTTAGATGTTTGTCACAATTATAATTTTCTTAATTTCATCATAATGCAAGAAACATTTTAAGGAACGTTATTAATAAGTTCTAATAACTTCAAGGATTTCTAACTTTTGGAGGCAGTTCCATCTAAAATTAGAAGGTATTGATCAGCCCTGCACTTTGGGATTTTAACAAAGCTAAAAGAAGTCAGAAGTAAATAATGATTATTGATAATTCTAGCAGCTTCCCTTGTTTTTGGAGAGAAGGAACCTGTGTAAACATTTTGTCCTGGTTATCTGTATAATCTTCCTATTATAAAACATTGTTAGACCCTTACCTTAGCATGTTCTAATACTGTACACTGCCTTAGCCCTCTTGAGAAGTACCAAATAACTAGAAAAGTTTTATCTTTTCACAAACCATAACAATGATGTCACTTTTAAAGTTCAAATTCAAGCAGATGGAAAAACAACACTATTGTTACGCAATATGACTCAAAACAAAGGACATAATTTGACAATTTTACTCAAATTTATATCCTTTTCTTCCACCTTATTTTATAATTATGTCTTCTTTTACCCCTTTGCAAAATAGTTTTATAATTTATTATAGGTTTTTAAAAACTATTCCTTTAGCATTCTAATTCGTGCATGGATTATATCTATCTGCTTGTGCTTTTAGCTGCCTTTCAGTATTTTTATAATTTTAATCCACTTTTTATTATAACTATAATGCATTGCAGGATAGAATTAAAGATTTTAAAAATATGCAATAACAACAATAACTGCCGAACTGTAACATCACAACAGCATATTAAAATATTAAAGTTGGGAAAACAAGAATTATAGGTTTTTGTTCGTCATTGATCAATATTCACTTAAACCATACACAATGCATTCCTGCTGATTTGGTGGAATGTTTTTAAATATATTTGGTTCAGTGATGGGTTTATCCCGGTTTGGTCCGGTTCTTGCAAACCGTAGTAATGGCAGCGGGAGGCTCCGCCCACCCACTCAGATGTCATCATGAACAATCTGTGCATGCACAGAAGCTTCTGCGTGCATGCACTTCCATTGCAAACTGGTAGTGGAGGTAAGTAGAACCCACCCCTGATTTGGTTTAGCTGTACCACATTGAGATTATTTTCCTTCTTTCATCATCCAAAAAGCTATGGGATAAGTACTGTAGAAAGAACGATGGTTACTGGCTCACAGTCCATAACTCAGCTGGGAACTGAACTTGAGTCTGTTTAGATTAGGGGTCCTCAAACTTTTTAAACAGGGGGCCAATTCATGGTTCCTCAGACTATTGGGGTGTGTGGACTGGCTGGCTGGCTATGGCTAGGTGGTCATGTGGCTAGGTGCTCATGGCCAATTTAGCAGTCCACTAAACAATGCACATAAATTATACTTTGTTTTACTCCTGGGGGTGTTTTATTTGCTCTTTGTTTACATGTTGCTCTTTTGGTTGACTTTTCTTTTTATTAGATCATTTTTTCAGTTGTTTAGGAGTCTAGTGGTCCACTTCAGGAAACTCAGTTTTGCAGCAATTCTTCTCAGCTTCAAGGAGCTTACAATCAACAAGTCTCTCTCTCTCCCCCCTCTCCCTCCCTCCCCCCCCTCTGTGTCTCTCTCTGTCTGTCTCTGTCTCTATCTAGCTCTCTCTCTTTCTCTCTCTCTCTGGAGAGAGGGGGAGGTCAAAAATGGGGAATGCGGACACCCCGGGAGGCCTCTGTGCCCCCCATTTTTTGCCTGCAGAGTGATACTGAAGGCGGAAAAGGCCAAAAAGAGGACACTTTCTGGCCTCCTGGAGCATCCGCACGCCCCATTTTTCCCCCTCCCATCTCCAAAAGCATTCTGCAGGCCAAAAACAAGCTAAAACAGGTCTGATTTTGGCCGCCTGGGGTGTCTGCATGCCCCATTTTCCACTTCCCCCACCTCCAGTAGCCCTCTGCAGGCCAAAAATGTTGGCCTTACCTTCCAGTTCCAGCCTGTGGGGCTTGCAAAAGTAAGTACTGCACTTGGCTGAAGGGTGGGGGCCTGTGGATGGGTGGGGTAATGTGGGTGGGCCAGCGTCATGGTCCTACGTGGGCTGGATTAATGGCTTTGATGGGCCGTATGCTGCCCACAGGCCGTAGTTTGAGGACCTCTGATCTAGATCTATGTTGGGTGTTTGGTGCACCCAGTCTGTGGCTTTAGATGGTCATGTTTACCCTTTGATTATCTTGATTGCACTTAGGTCAGTTTGGCGTCAGAAAGATGAATGAAAATGGCCAACGACTACTGGAGTTTTGCTGCTACTATGGTCTTTGTGTTAGCAATACATACTTTAAAACAAAGCCTCAACACAGAGTCTCTTGGAGACATCCAAGATCGAAGCATCGGCACCAGCTCAACTTGATTCTTACCAGGCGCTCCAACCTCCCCAATATTACAATCACACGCAGCTATCAGGGTGCTGATTGTGATACAGACCACTCCTTGGTGTGCAGCAGAATAAAACTGCAAACAAAGAGATTGTATCAGTCGAAGAAGGAAGGAAGACCATGAATTGACTTCAACAAGACCCGCATCAGGGCAAAGTGGAGGAATTTGCACAAGCACTCAAGGAAACTCTCCCAGGCCCAGCTGAAGTAAATGCATCTGAACGATGGGAATATTTCAAGAATGCTGTTTATAACACCGCCTTGTCAGTATTTGGTAAGGAGTTCAGAAAGACAGCAGATTGGTTTGAAGCCCATTCGGAGGAGTTGACACCAGCCATCGAGAAAAAAAGGAGCGCTCTAATTGCATATAAAGCCTGTTCCAGTGAGCGCAACCAGGTTCTGTGAGCTGCTCGTAGCAAAGTCCAACAGACCACCAGGAGATGTGCTAACGATTATTGGCTGCAGCTTTGCTCTCGGATCAAGATAGCAGCTGATACTGGCAACATCAAGGGGATGTATGATGGCATCAAGCAGGCCTTAGGTCCAACATAGAAGAAATCTGCCCCTCTGAAGTCTGCTACAGGTGAGGTTATCCAGGACCGAGCACAGCAGATGGCACGCTGCATGCAGCACTACTCGTGAGTTATATTCCAGAGAAAATGTGGTAACTCAAGAAGCATTAAATAACATTGAATGCCTGCCTGTCTTGGAGGAGCTTGACAGTGAACCAACTTTAGAAGAACTAAATGCGGCCCTGAACTCCCTTCCCTCTGGCAAGGCACCCAGGAAAGATAACATTTCTGCCGAAGTTCTGAAGTGCTGCAAAGAGAACATCTCCACTGAATTGCATGAAATCTTCTGTCTTTGTTGGAGGGAAGGTGGAGTACCACAGGACATGAAGGATGCAAATATAATCACACTGTACAAGAACAATGGTGACAGGGGTGACCGTAACAACTACTGTGGCATCTCTCTTCTTAGTGCTGTAGGGAAGCTGCTTGCCCGTGTCATACTGAAGAGGCTCCAGGTGCTTGCAGAGAGAGTCTATCCAGAATCACAGTGTGGATTTCGAGCCAACAGCACTACTGACATGGTATTTTCCCTTAGACAGTTGCAGGAGAAATGCAGGGAACAAAGACAACCACTTTTCGTACCTTCATAGATCTTACGAAGGCTTTTGACTTGGTTAGAAGGGATGGCTTTTATAAAATTCTCCCCGAGATTGAATGTCCACCTCAGCTCCTCAACATCATCAGGTGTTTCCTTTCATGAGGAAATGAAGGGTACTGTAGTTTTTGATGGCTTAACTTCAGATTCCTTTGATATTCGAAGTTGGCACAAGGACACAGCAGGGCTGCTTACAGGATTTCCTCTTCGCTGATGATGCTGCCGTCACTGCTCACTCTGCTGAAGACCTTCAACAACTCATGGACAGTTTTAGCAAGGCCTGCCAAGACTTTGGAACTAACAATCAGCCTGAAAAAAACACAAGTCATGGGTCAGGACATGGATTCACCTCCCTGTATTACAATCTCTGCACAAGAACTGGAAGTTGTCCAGTTCTTGTGACTTTGGGTACCTCGGCTCAACTATCTCTGACACTCTCTCTTTAGATACTGAGCTAAATAAATGTATTGGTAAAGCGGCCACCAAATTTTTCAGACTTACAAGGAGAGTATGGCTTAATAAGAAGCTGACGGAACTTACAAAGATCCAGGTCTATAGAGCCTGTGTCCTGAGCACACTCTTGTACTGCAGTGAGTCTTGGACCCTCTATGCACAGCAGAAGAGAAAGTTGAAAACCTTTCATATGCGCTGTCTCTGATGAATTCTTGGCATCACCTGGCAGGACAAAGTTCCAAATAGAATGTGCTAGAATTTCTAGCATGTATACACAATTGAAACAGCGAGATCTATGCTGGCTGGGGCATATCGTGAGAATGGCTGATGGTCGGATTCCGAAAGATCTCCTGTATGGAGAATTTGTGCAGGGAAGCGTCTCAGAGGGAGACCACAGCTGTGATATAAGGATATTTGCAAGAGGGATCTAAAGGCCCTGGGAATGGACATTAACAACTGGGAAACTTTGACCTCCGATCGTTCAACTTGGAGATTAAAGATGCAGCATGGCCTTCTCCAATTTGAAGAGACACTTGTTCAGCAGGCTGAGGCAAAGAGGCAGTCCCGGAACCAGCAAAATCTGGGGGCTGGGCAGGGGACAGAATGTATCTGCTCTAAATGTGGAAGGGATTGCCACACTCGAATTGGCCTTTTTAGTCACACTACATGCTGTTTTAGGACCTCTTTCCAGAGCACGATACCGTAGTCTCTTGAGACTGAAGGATGCCAATGAATGACTTATGTTGCTATTCTTATAAACTATCCTGTATACTTTAGTGGAACAAACAGTTTAAAAATAAAACATATATATTTTAATATCTATAGAGTCAGTAGCTGTGGAAGCTGTCCCTTCTGTAATGAGACTCAGATCTAACAGATGTAAATCTGCTAGAGATAATACTATAATAATATTGAATCAAATCCTGACTCAACTATTTTATTTATAATGATCCTTCCCCACCTGATGCCCCACCTAATGCAGTACCTTAGTAGCCATGCTGGCTAGAAAATGCAAGTTGAAACCTAAGCAATTTGAATAACATTTAAGGTGTGGAAAACTGCTATTAGGGTTGTACTACATGACATACAGAGGCCCATTGATAACTTTTTTAGATATACATGTTGTGGACAAGAACCATTAGACCTTGAGTGACTGTAGTGTGGGCTCCCAGATTATATGTTAATTCTATTGGTTCAATGTATCTATTTGGAATTAAATCATACTTATCCATAAATGAATCCAATATTGTATTTTTTTAGTTTTTTCACTTTTATGATGACACTTGTTTATACATATTTCATTATTCTACAACTTTTATTTGAGCCATGGTGGTGCAGTGGTTAGAATGCAGGCTACTTCTGCTAACTGTCAGCTGCCAGCAGTTTGACAGTTTGATTCTCACCAGCTCAAGCCTTCCATCCTTCCAAGGTTGGTAAAATGAGGACCCAGATTGTTGGGGGTAATATACTGACTCTGTAAATCGCTTAGAGAGCTGTAAAGCACTGTGAAGCGGTATATAAGTCTAACTGCTATTGCTATTTATGCAATTAATACTGAAACTGTGAAATGTATCTCCTCTGGGGAAGTGCAGACAGAATCCATTGAAGGTTTGAAGAATCTTCTAATTGTACTATACATTGTTATAATAAATCCACCTTTATCAAAATTTCATTGATTTGTCTTAATTGTTTATTTGTGTTCATTTTGTTGTTTGGATTTTTGTGCGTGCTATGTATATTAAGATTGCACTAGAAAAAAGTCTGATGGCAAAAGCAGTATGTTACCTGTTAGGATTTTGTACTTTTTCCAACAGAATTAACACATGCAAACAGAATTGTGGCTTTTAAAAACCTAGTAACATTTTTACTGTTCCATTTAATTTTAACTGATTTATGCAGCTCTTTGATGATATTTTTAAAACATTTAAACAAAATTATATTCTGTAGTCATTCTAGATGGAATTTTCAGATCAAAGGTGCTCTGAAAATTGCTGGAAGATCCTGGGAATCTTAGGAAATACAATTCTAAAAAACTGGGGGAGCTGATAAACACCAAATGTTGCCTCCTAAATGCATACAAGAACAAGCAGAGGCATAGATCAGTAACTGTTCTGCACAAACTCAAGACTTAGTCTTTCTACTTCATTGCTTTTAATGGTGAACAGAGAACATCAGGAATCAAATAAGTGGTAGCAGTACCTCTGGATGCAATCCCAGTGTGTATGTTAGAAATGGAAGGGAGCTTCCGGTGGTGACGACGTGCTGTGCTGGTTCAGAGGAACAGAAGCTCTGTTCCCTGTGCCGGATTTCTAGCAATCGGGGGCCGTGGGAGGTGAATTTTTGTCGTGGAGGGACAAAAATAGAAGGAGGAAGTCTCAGAGGCAGCGAGGGAAAGTGCAGTTTCCCGCAACGCTAGGAAGAGAATCTCCAACCCGACCTGGAAGAAGCCTGCCTTAATGGCAGACTTGGAGGTGTGACGCACCACCCAAAGAAAAGGGAAACAAGGAGAGAAGAGAGTACAGCAGGCATAACACGAGCAGTGGATTTAGCCGAGTTTGGAAGACTGGCGAAGAAGCAGCTGGAGGAGCGATTAAAGATACAGAGTGAGTCTCCAATATAGAAATACTATTTTGAACAATTGGCAGCATTCTGGCATCGGGAGCAGTATAGTGAGCAGAAGAGAACAGTAAACAGTTAAAAGGTGAAAGGAGCAGAGCTTCACTCTGTGAGATAAATAAGGAACTGCAAATAAGGAACCGTATTTTGTATTTTGAACTTCAGAAACTTGCACTCCAACAGAGAAATGAAAGGCTTACAGTCGAGAAGGAAAGATTGTGAGAAAATGACTGTGCAGACAGAGAGAGACTGACATTGTAAGACAGAAGCTGATGCAGCAGTGAAAATAACGGGGTTAATAATATTCAAACATTCAAATCCCCCTTTCTTTTTCTTTGCTCTCTTTTCAATTTTTATAGCTTAACATTCCCCATATCTATACGTTTATAATATTATTTAGTATTTTTAGACCTGGCTATAGATTACAGATTTAGTTTTTAGAAACATATATATATATTTTACCACTCTGACAAAAATATATCTATCTAAGAAACTTAGTAAATAGACAATATAGAGTTGTGGTGATAGTTATATAAAATATAATCATATTTCTTGTATCCAATACCAACTGATTTATTGTATTTATTAACTCTTATTTATTAAGATTTGTTAATAACTTGATTTTTTCAATTAGATTAACGAGTATTTACTGTATTTATTCTATATATTGTATTTATTGTACTTAATATCCAATATTTAATATTTATTAACTATATTATCTTTACTATTTTTATTATCAATTAATCTATTTATTGACACATAATAGTAAAATTGATATTGATTTATAGAGATAGAATTATATTGATTAGAAGGGAATTAGCTTAATTTAAAGGAAAGTATAACATATATAAATACAAACTAGATTAATAAAACTGGATGGTAATTTGGGAGAATATATATAAAATTCTAGGAGAACAGCATAAAATTATAAGAGAAACGACCACCATTACAACCTTGAAAACAGGAAAGAAGGCTACACCATTAGTCCCAATACCGACTGCTTCTCCATCGAACCAAAGACTAATTGAAGGAATGTTAACCACTGGAAAATCGAACGACACTCCAAATATGCAGGCGATGCAAGCTACCCTGATGACAATACAAGAAACGATGGTAAAACTCCAGGCAAATATGACAAAAAATCATGGAGAAATTAAATTAGATTTAAAATCAGAAATGAGAGAGATGAAGACAGAGTTACACAAGTTGGATGAAAGAATGGGTGCAATTCAAGAAGCAATCCAGAAGAATGAAGAGAGAATAAAAACTATTGAAAATAGAACAGAGCAAACTGAGAAAAATCTAGAAATGGTAGATCGGAAAATGTCTAGGATAAATAAGGAATTAGGATAATCATTGTTACATTTGGAGATGGATCGGGCTTCCTTTTTTCTGAGGTTCCAAAACATCATGGAGACAAAAGAAGAGGATCTAGGGATACTGATGGCCGGCTTAATTGCAGTCACACTGCAAAGAGACAAGCGAGAGATTATAAATGAATTGGATGATGTTTACAGGGTCTATATGAGTTATGCTAGACGCTACAAACTCCCCAGGGAAGTCCACATAAGATTCGCTCGCAAGAAAGTGAGAGATATGATATACAAGATCACAAGAGAGGAACCGATGACATACAAAGGAAAATAAATTATTACTCTGAAATAAATCCATAGGAAGGTCCATGAACAACGGAAAGATTACCACTTTTTAGTGACCCAATTAAATAAAAGGAATATACGATTCTGATGGATTACTCTGGAGGGGATGTTAGTCTCCTGGAACGATAAAAAAATTAATGTTGATAGTATGGCAAAAGCTCAAGAACTGTATGACCAGCTAGTTGGCTCAGAGGAAGACTATAGTAGCAGGGAGCAATTGGAATCAGCCAGCCAAGATGAACAATGACAGGAGACACAAGAGAAAGACAAAGAGGAGAAAAGAAAAAAGGAGAAAGATCATCGAGGAGAAGAGGGAGTAAGAACAAGGATCCAAAGAAGGCAACGAGAGACACAAAATTAAGAATGAAAGAGGAACTGAAATTAATATCATTATATGTGAATGGTTTAAATTTACCATCCAAAAGAAGACATGTATTTTTCAAATTAGTTAAATAAGTAGATATTGTGTGCCTCCAGGAGGTGTACATCCAAAAACAAGATGAAAAATATTTACAATATAACAAATTGGGGAAACTTTATTTAACATTGGCAGAAGAAAAAAAAGAGTGCTGGTGGTATACATTAAAGTGGGGATAATAGCTAAACAAATATATACAGACACAAGAGGTAGAATGTTGATAATCAAAATAGTAATGGGTCAAAAAAATATTTTGCTAGTGGTGATATATGCAGCCAATAAGAACCAAGCAGACTTTTATAAAAATGTGTATGATAATAGAGATAGGGAATGACAATGTTTGTTTGTTTGATTATAATGCAATAGTGGACATTAAAAAAGATTATGCAAATAACCAAAGAACAAAAATAAAAAGGAACATCTTACCCAAAGTTTTTTTTGAAATGGCAGAAGAATTAAATCTATTAGACATCTGGAGATTTCGTAACCCAGAAGAAACAAAATTTACTTTCTATTCCAACCACCATAGATCTGGTCGAGAATCAATATGGCCTGGATATATGAGATCTAGTTAAAGATGTTGAAACTGTAGAGATTATGCCAAACACCTGGGCTGATCATAATAGTCTCAAAATAATATGGAAAGGGCAAAAAAGAAAGAAAGGCAGATGGACGTTGAATCCCCAAATTTTAAAAGAAAAAGAATATATTCAAAAGATTCTAAAAGAATTGGAATTATTTTTTAGAGAGAACAAAAAATCTTTAGAGACATTACAAAATCTCTGGGACACTATGAAAGCATATTTAAGGGGGATTACAATAGTATATATTGCAAAAATAAATAAAGATGAGAGAACATAACATTTTGTCCAAGGAAATTAAAAAATTAGAAAATCAAGTACAAACAGATCCGGGGGATGAACAAATTAAAAACAAAATGGCCCTAGTCAAGCATAAATTGAATATTTTGGTCCAAAAAGAATTGGGAAGAAACTTAAAATTTGCAAAACAAAATTACTTTGAACATGCAAACAAGCCAGAGGGGTGGCTGGCTTATCAATTAAAAAAGGAGAGAGAAAAAAGAATAATACACCAACTACAGGATGAAAATGGAATTGTGGAAAATAATATGGAGAAGAAAAAAGAAATCACATAAGAATTCTTTGAGATGCTTTATAGATAGGAAGAGACAGAACAGGGAAAAATAAGTGATTATTTGAAGAAAGGGACTGAGTTTTCATTGATGGAAGAAGAAAGAGAAACACTGAATAAGGACATAACATTATTAGAAATTAAAGAAGCAATTCGGAAACAAAAAAGTAACAAGACCCCAGGTCCAGATGGGTTGCCAGGGGAAATTTATAAACATTTAGGAGATTCGATAGAATTATTATTATTGGAAGTATGTAATGAAGCCCTGAGGGAAGCAAAGTCACCAGAATCATGGAAGGAGGCATATATTACCTTGATCCCTAAAGAAGGCACAGATAATAAACAAATCAAGAATTATAGACCAATCTCACTCTTAAATTTGGATTACAAAATATTTATGAACATTATGGCAGAACGGATACAAAAAATTCTAAATGATAAGATACACACAGATCAAAATGGATTTCTTCCTATGAGACAAATTAGAAACGATACCAGAATAGTAATTAATATACTATTAATTACTATTCTGTAATTAATATACAGAATATATGAAGCGCATCTAGAAAGACAAGTTGCCCTTGTCTTCCTGGATGCACAAAAAGCCTTCAATAATGTGAATTGGGAATGTATGATTTAACAAATTAAAGTCATGAAATTCGGAGATAAATTTGAAAAGATGATTGAATCGATCTATTCCATGCAAAAGGCAAGGGTAATAATAAATGGGGAGACTACAAATTCATTTAAGGTAATGAAAGGAGTTAGACAGGGTTGTTCTCTATCACTTCTGCTCTTTATCCTGACCCTTGAGATACTATTACAGAGAATTAGACAGAAAATGGAAATAAAAGGAATCAAAATTAAACAGGAAGAATTTAAAATGCAGGCATTTGCCAATGATATGGCATTTGTTATAGAAGACCCATTGGAATCTGGACCAATACTACTGCAAGAGATAGAGAAATATTGGGGGGGGGGTCCGCAGGCCTTAAAATTAACAAAGAAAAAACTAAAATGTTAGTTAAGAATTTAACGGAAAAACAAAAAGGAGAACTCGAGGAAAGAATGGGACTTCACACTGTAAAAAAACTGAAATATTTAGGTATTTGGTTAAGAGCAAGATGTTCAGCATTAAAAAAGGATAATTATACGAAATTAATACAACAAATAGGGAAAGATTTAGAAAGATGGGAAAAATTACAGCTGTCATTATTAAGGAGAATCGCAACAATTAAAATGAATATTTTGCCAAAATTACTCTCTTTATTCCAAACAATTCCTTTAAAATTAGATAAGAATTTCATTAATGGGAAGGGCCTTCTCTGTGGCAGCACCTGCCCTCTGGAACAACCTGCCCCTGGAGATACGTAGGATACCAGATCTCCGTGCTTTTCGCAGTGCCCTCAAAACTTTTCTATTTCATCAAGCTGGGCTGGCGTAACACCCCCCCCCTTAGATATTTTTAATTGTAAATGGATTTTAGTTGGGAGGTTTTAAATTCTGGGCCAAAATTTGTTTAATTCTTTTAAAATTTAAAATTTTGTATTGGGATGTTTTTTATTCTAGGCTGTGCACCGCCCTGAGTCCAGCAGGAGAAGGGTGCTATAAAAATTTAATTAATTAATTAATTAAGTAAATAAAGAGTTAAACAAAATGATTATGAAGTTCGTATGGGCAGGAAAAAAGGCAAGGATAAAATTAATTTCACTTCAAGATAGAAAAAGCAGAGGTGGCTTTGGACTCCCTGCGTGAGAAATTTATTACAAAGCAGCGAGTTTGGTTAGGGTTAGGGAATGGATTAATTTAAAGAATAGGAGAATTTTAGCACTGAAAGGACATGATCTTCAGATGGGGTGGCATGCCTTCATATGGAACACCAGAAATAAGAAACATTCACATTCATATTTTTATAGACATACACTGCGAGATTCATTGATACAGACTTGGGAGGGAATTAGGAAGAAAAAAATAAAAGTGGACTCATAATATAAAGCACAAAATCTGCACGATCAAGTGATGGGCATGTTACATATGTAAATGCCTAATATATATATGTCTCTGTATATATTTATGGTTAACTCTCACTCTGTCTACATCATCCCCAAAACCACTCCTACTTACCTCTGACCACTCCTTCCTTGTATATATATCGAACCCTCCCTGATTCTTGGTTCTTCCTCTGCTTCTCCTGCAAGAGATCAGATATGAATAAATGACAATTATTATCATCATAAAAGACTCTGAGTAATTATTGGGCAAGATCCTCAAATTCTAACAGGGCATAGAAGGAATAAATAATAAAAGGGAGGAACCGGAAAGGAGTACTAAAGGGAAACAGAGACAAGAGGAACAAGAAAAAGTACTAGAAGAGGGAGATAAAGAAGAAGAAGGAGAAATACAAGAGGAAGAAGGAGTGAGAACAAAGGCCAAGAGAAAGGACAGGAAGTAATAGAAAAAGCTTATAGGACATAGATTAAGGAATGGAACAAAATCTTAAAATTCTATCATTGAACGTAAATGGCCTTAATTCCCCAGTCAAAACACATCAAATTTTTAGAAAAGCTGTGAAACAACAAATGGATATTGTGTGCCTCCAAGAAGTACATATAAAAAAACAAGATGAAAAATATTTACAATGCAAAAAATTAAGTAAAACTTTTGTAACACTAGCAGAAGAAAAGAAAAGAGGAATAGCAGTGTATGTTAAAGAAGGAATAGAGAGTAACTTGAAATACGCAGACTTAATAGGAAGAATTTTGATGATAGAGGTAAAATTTAAATATAAAAGTATTTTATTAGTGGTTATATATGTGCCAAATAGTGGACAAATGGAATTTTACAAAAAAGTACATGAAAAAATAATAGAACAAAAAATGGAGAACGTATGTTTGATTGGCGATTTTAATGCAATTGTTGATGTAAGAAAGGATTACAAAAGTGATCAGAGCAATAAAAAAGAAAAATATACTACCCAGAACTTTTATTGATTTAGTAGAGGAATTAAATTTAGTTGATAGTTGGAGATTTTATAACCCTGAGGGAAAAAATTTTACATATTATTCGAATCCCCATAAATCCTGGTCTAGAATTGATATGGCATGGGTAACCAACATATTGATACAAGAAGTAGAAAAAGTTGAAATAATATCAAATAATTGGGCTGACCATAATCCAGTAATGCTGGTATGGAAAGGACAACAGAGGAAAAAGAGTAGATGGACGATGAACACACAGATATTGAAAGAAAAAGAATATATTGAACAAATGGAAAAGGAATTAAAATTGTTCTTTAAAGATAACACAAAATATCACACCTCCCTTCAGAATTTATGGGATACAACAAAGGCTTATGTGAGAGGACTGATGATAGCTTATAATGCAAAAAGAAAAAAGGAGAAGGAAAAAGAATATAATAAAGTACAAGAAGAGATTAAAAATTGGGAAGGAAAATTACAAAACAACCCTGGGGATGAGCAAATTAGAAGGAAATGGATGGCAGCTAAACATAAATTGAACATACAGTATTAGATCAGGAAAAATATATAACGGCATTGAAATATATAAAACAGAACCATTTTGAGCATGCAAATAAACTAGGGAGGTGGTTGGCTTATAGATTAAGAAAAAAAAGGGAAAAAAGAACAATCCAACAATTACAGGACAAAAAGGGTAAAATGCAACAGAGCTTAGAAAAGAAAAAGGAGATAGCAACTCAATTCTTTCAAGAACTTTACGAGAAAGACAAAGTGACAACAGAAGAAATAAATCAATATCTAAGTGGGGAGGGAATGTTAGCATTGTCAGAGGAAGAAAAAGAAATACTAAATAGGAATATTACCATAGAAGAGCTAAAGGAAGCGATTAGGAAGCAAAAAAATAATAAAACCCCAGGAACAGATGGTCTACCAACTGAATTTTATAAAGGATTAGGAGAGATACTGAATTGGATTCTACTAGAAACATATAATGAAGCATTGACAGAGGCAAAGCTACCAGACTCATGGAGAGAGGCATACATCTCGCTGATACCGAAGGAAGGAGCAGATACAACGCAAATAAAAAAATATAGACCGATCTCTCTATTAAATACTGATTATAAAATCTTCATGAATATAATGGCAAACAGAATGAAAAAATTATAGAATACATCCAGATCAAAACGGCTTCTTACTAACGAGACAGATAAAAAACAATATAAGAACAGTAATCAACGTATTAGAATATTATGAGGTACATCCAGAGAGGGAAGTAGCACTGGTGTTTCTGGATGCACAAAAAGTATTTGATCAGGTGAATTGGCAATTTATGACTCAGCAAATTAAAAACATGAAATTTGAGGAGAGATTTGAAAAAATGATAGCCTCTATATATAGAAAACAAAAAGCAAGTATATTAGTAAATGGAGACTCTACTAAATTATTTGAAATAAGTAAAGGAGTACGGCAGGGATGTCCACTCTCATCTTTATTGTTTATTTTAACATTGGAAAATTTACTTATAAGAATTAGGTCAAATAAAGGAATAAAAGGACTAAATGTAAAACAAGAAAAATACAAGGTCCAAGCATTTGCCGACGACCTTGTATTCTTCATAGAAGAACCATTAAAAACAGGAGCAATTTTAATAAAAGAGATAGAAGAATTTGGAAAAGTGGCAGGTTTAAAAATTACCAAAGACAAGACTAAAATGTTACTGAAAAATATAACAGCAAAACAAATAGAAGAATTAGTTAATCAATTAGGATTACAGGTGGTAAAAAAAGGTGAAATATTTAGGTATAAATTTGACAGCCAGAAGTGCAACTATAAAGGAGAACAATTATGGAATATTGGTTCAAAAAATAAATGAAGATTTAGAAAAATGGGGGAAATTAAAATTATCTCTATTAGGGAGGATTGCAGTGATAAAAATGAACATACTGCCGAGACTTCTTTATTTATTTCAAACAATTCTGGTAAAATTAGATAAAAAATTCTTCAATAATTTGAATAGAATAACCACAAAATTTGTGTGGAAAGGGAAAAAAACAAAGAATCAAATTAAGTATATTGCAGGACGATAGAACTAGAGGTGGATTCGGTTTACCAGCATGGGAAACATACTACAAAGCAATAAGTCTAACATGGATTAGAGAATGGGTGAATTTGGAAAACCAAAGACTATGAAAATTAGAAGGACATGATTTGATGATGGGGTGGCATGCCTTCTTTCTTTTCTTTTTTTTTTGCACCTCTCTGTGACGCTTTATTATTTTTTTCCTCCAATTTTTATTTATAAGTACAAACTAAACAGAACAATGAAACGTACAAAACATAAAAACATATAAACATCCATTTCAATACATGTCCAGTTTGTCGCAACTAAAATATACATTTCTCTTTTTATTTTGACTCTTCCTTTTTTGGTCATTCCCTTTTGTCTATCTAATATTGATCTTTGTTGACCTATGTCTGTTCTTTGTTTCCATCATATTATATTTGGTCATTTTATTTACTTCCTATTGCTTCATCTCTTTCCTATCTTTCAACCAACTATACCACTTTTCCCATACTAAGTAAAAGTCATGTTCTTCCCTATTCCATAATTTTATTGATTACTTTATCTGGTGTTGGCATATCACTACTCTTCCAGTGTTGCGCGTATAGTATTCGTGCTGCTGTTATCATATGTATAATTAAATAGGTTGTTTCTTTTTCATAGTATCCATTCACTATGCCTAATAAGAAGCTTTCTGGTCTTAGTTCTATCTTTTGGTGTGTTATTTCCTCTATTTGTATTTTGATCCTTTGCTAATATTGTTTTGCCATTGGGCAGGTCCACCACATATGGTAACAGGTGCTTTTGTGGTGGTTGCATTTCCAACATGTTGATGGCGTGCCGGGGAACATTCTTGCCAATCTGGCTGGTGGCAAGTGCCACCTATAAAACATTTTATAGAGATTTTCTTTATAGGGTACAGACATTGTCAATTTATAATTTATTTTCCATAGTTTTTCCCATTTGTCTAATTGAATACTATAACCGAAATTTTTTGCCCAGATTATAATATTTTCTTTCACTACCTCTTCTTCTAATTTATATCCTCGTAAGTAATTGTAATTTTTTTTGATCAGTTTGTCCTGTGTCCCTTGCAAAATTTTATCTAATTCTGTCTGACCTTTTTGAAATTCAAATTGAGCCAAATCTTTATTGTATCTTGATTTTATTTGTATATACGGCCACCAGTCAATGTCTGTACCCATCTCTTTTAGTTCTTGCCTCATTCTTATGGAACACCAGGAACAAAACATATAAAAACTTCAGTAATTATATATTAAGAGATTCACTAATCTGTACATGGTGAGAAATTAAAAACAAACATTATATAAAAGTTCCAGGATGGTTATCCACAATGGAGGCACAAATACACCCCAACACATTGGCACTACAAAAAAATGGTAAGATATAAGGAAATATTGGATTCCCAGGGAGTATTAAAAACACAAGAAGAACTTAGAGAAAAAGGAATATTGATAGACTGGTGGCCCTATTTACTGATAAAAAAAAGATATAAAAAGGATCAAGAGGAAGGAGGAATTGAACTAAAACCGAACCGATTAGATAAACTGTTAGAAGTCAAGGAAGAAAAATTAATATCAAAAATTTATAAATACTTATTGGAATTCGACCTAGCAGAGGAATTAGCAAAAGGACAAATGATAGCATAGGCAAGAAACATTGGACATAACATACAATTAGAAGACTGGGAAAATGCATCAGTAGTTTATAGAGAGAATCAGTATAAAATGTGGTATAGATGGTATCTGGCCCCTTTGAGGTTAGCGAATATGTATCAGAACTTAGATCCAACTTGTTGGAAATGTAAACAAGCACAGGGCACATTCTTCCATGTCTGGTGGCTTTGCCCAAAAATTAAGAAATACTGGGAAAAAATAAAAACTTGGCTAACAGAAATAACAACAAAGGAAATAGAGCTGAAACCAGAAATTTTTCTATTAGGCATGATCAAAGGAAACCATAGCAAAAAAACTATTAAATATTACATATAATTACGGCAGCCAGACTGGCATTAGCACAACATTGGAAAATGGATCAATTGCCAACAGATCATCTAGTAATCAAAAAAAATTTACAATTGTGCAGAAATGGCTAAATTAACATTCGAGTTAAAAGACAAGGTAGACTCAA